ACTCCACATTGCTGAATGTTGAAAAAAAAAAAAAAAAAAAAAAAAAAAAGAGAATATATGTCGTGGGACGACAGCGTCGTGGGACGACAGCGTCGTGGGACGACAGGATTGTCTGACATCAGAAAAGTGCGTGCACTTCTGGAGAACCTGACAACGGACGCGTTGTGTCGCTAACAAGAAGCTCCACGGAAGGCATGGACACAAGTAAAGGAAAACACAAGTAGATATACATACACTTACACATACATTTGCATTGAGGGTTTCGGCCGATATTTCTTTACACTCGGTTTTGGATGACAACGGGTATTATGAGTTTTTCGCCATGATAACTATCCACAATGCATTCGACACATCCGGGGGGGGGCAATGCGTGCCTTCCCGTACCTTGACCACCATTTTTGCACATAAAAAAAAAAAAAAAAAAAAAAAAACAAGACGACGGGAGGAGAGTGATGAGCGGGCGGCAGTCGTCGGGGACCGTGCAGAGTCTGAGCACGATGAGTGGGTCCCTTGGTTGTCTTGCCAGTTTGATAGAGAGGCGCAGTGTAGATCATGTACAGATCAGAACCAGCAGAATACAGCAGGCGGTCAATCGGTCAGTGAAGCAAACAACCTCGGCGCAGAGCCGGCATCAACATCTTTTTGTAACATTATTTGTATTACGACTATGATTTACGATTATTGTTTTCCGCATTCTGCCAGGGTCGGCAGTCGTCTTTCTAGTAAAGTTACCTAAGGCTAACGGAATTGTTACTGCCATGCTCTGCCTCTCTTATCTTTTCCTATTCCGAGGGCTCGAGCATTCCGGGACCCAGCCAGCATGATCTACAGCATCACCGGACAGGAAGGGACCAGATACCGAGAAGACTACAACTACAAGCAAACACCGAACCACCGGACCACCATGACACCTCTCATTGAGGTCATGGTCGAGGACGACCTACACATTTTATAAACCCTAATTCATAATTCACAATAGTAATCCCTATTCTTTGTAAGGAGTCGTGGTCGACTCCTCCCGTTAGGGGAGGCTGTGTTACGAAATTCGATTCGCTTATTATTTACATCCGTTGTTGTTCCTGGTCTCGCTGTCTTGTCTTGTCCGGTGTCAAATATGGTCTGCTGTCTGTACGGGAGTGATGCGGGGTGTGCGGTATATGGGTGTGATGTGTATGACGTGGTGTATGTAGTATATGCGTTGTCAGAGAGTGTGGATCTGCTTCTGCCTGAGTGAGTGCGTTTGTCTAACTAGTTGTCGCGCATGCGTGGATTATGTGGAGCATGCGCTGTGCGAGTCGAGTTCGGGTGTGAGGGAGTGGTGTGATTCGTCCACGATGTTGTTGTCTTGGTTCTAGTCACATGTATCGTACGTACTGGTCGCTCATTGGTCGTTTCGATGTGTTCGCCGTTTCTCTGTTTATTACTGTTGGTTGTTTATTATTTCGTTGTCTTTCTCCCCCGCTCGCTTCGCCATCAGTTCTGGTTTTGATAAAGTATTCTTGGAGCCGACAAATGAGTCAACGAACCGTTGTGTGGTGTGAAGGTAAAGGGGTGGGGAGAAATTCCGTAACATTACTACATGTAATTGCAAGGAGAGATACCGCAACAACTCGAAAAGTACAAGACGTGAAAGTGAGAGGAAAAATCTTGTACAGAATATTCAACAGTGTGAAAGAAGAAGAGCTCAGCAATCCATGTGTGATGTAGATAAGATATGGATGCAAGATGCGACCCGCAGTGATTATCATGACATCGTATCCAGCACGATTACCACAAGAACAATCTAAACGTAGATGCTGCTAAAAATCCAGTATGCCTATAATAATAACAAGATCAACGTTCTTCTGATTGCATAGTGGCCGATAGTGATACAACCAAGAGTCTTGATACAACGAAATGCACTTTACTCACTGGTGCCTATGTCCGACGATATTATGTACAATGTGGTTACTGCCTGCACGGACAGTGTTCAGCAAGGATCCCAAACCGTTGAAAGTTCCACGCCGATCCAATGACAAGGAAGTCAGCACCAGCATCCACAATGACGTTGTATCTCACCGTGACTTGAAGTATGGCCCTTACTTTGAACCAAATGACTATGTATCATAACAGTGCAATTTTCGTCAACTCTCTAGTCCAACTACAAAAATGCAACTAGTTACTTGTCTCCCGAGCTCCATCGCACTCAAACCTTGACTGGATTGAAAAGAAAGGCAGCATCTTGTTTTTGGTATAGCCGTACCTTGGTAATTGTATTCAGAACGCAGCAGTCCGTGCGCCAAGCCCTTGAGTAGCCTGTTTTTTATTTGCAACCGCGGGAAAAATCGAGGTGCAAAAAGATGACGACGACACAATTGTTTTGTTGGGAATTTGCAACCTTATTTGGATCTGAACTGGCGTGTGCTGGAGGAATCCTTGTTCATAACTGGTTTGCTGCTGAGGTATGTCCCTTTGTCACCTATGGCACTTTAGCTGAGGTTCGTTGCGCCCAACTGTAGACCATGAAGACCTGTGTTTGCTCTATACATTTTTTCGTCGTAATCGTACCATCAACTTGCTTGTCGTGCTGGAGTGGATAGCATATAACGGACACTCTCGGCTTATGCTCTAAGCCAAAGGTAGATATATTTGGGTTTGGATTCCCAAAGCACATCCCAATCAGGCTATGCAAAATGGAGCGGCCCACAATTTCGTGGAGGTATGTCGAATTGTGTGGAATTTTGCACTAAAGTAATTGTGCTTGAACAAGGACGTTTTGGCTGCTTATTTTCCTTGGGCACCTCTACATTGCAAACCAGTCCCCTTGCTGTTTTGTCTTCGACATCTATACGGAATTTCTCTGTAAGTCGTGTGATTGGGGCCCAGATTTTTAATCAAAATCCAGCAGTATTCCTGGCTGCTGATCTAGTTTGCTAAAGTTCTGGCTGAAGGTAGTCTGTGGAACAGTTTCTTTTGTATGTACCATGGTAGGACGTTCATTACATAATTATAGATGGAGTACATAGTCAAAGAAACTTTTTATGTAGTTTAGCACAACTGCACAGAAGTGCAGGGCCTGAAAGAAAAGCAAGCGCTGGAGACGCAGGGTCCGCAGCATGTGTGAAAGCATTGTGAGAGCATGTGTCTTCGAATTCAGCATCACACACATATACACACACACACGTACACACACACACACGCGCATGCGCGCACATACATACACACACACACACACACAAACACGTATCACACACACACACACACACACACACCATTGGACCATTGGACGCCCATCGCCGGAGGCGATGATAAAGATGCTACAGCAGAAGCCACAGAAGCACACACACACACAGACACGCGCGCGTCATCTGGCGCGGGTTGCGGGTTGGGTGTTGCATACTGATCATTCTGTACTTGCAGCCTTATCTTGATCATGTGTGATAGTTGTGTCACAGGTTTTTGCCGTATTTTCTGGATTCTCTGTGCTTTATGTAGATGGTCTTTGCGCGCTCGTCATCAACAGCACTAGGTCCAGTGGGCCAATCAGGCTGAATGGCATCATCCAGCTGTGACTGGGGTGTAGGTAAGTGTCTCTGCGTGCTCTGATGGTCGACTTGTGGCTTCTGGCCTTCAATCATTGTTCTTGCACGGGACCTCAGCCTGCCTCGCATACCCTGTGGTTCACTCGTGTTGGCAGGCTGTGATGCACAGTGGAATCCTTGATGTGGCACTCGGTCTATGTTGTTGCACGCGACGATATTGCCACTGATGGGCTTTGGTGTGATGCTCTGAATAGATGTACCATGAAAGCCTCTTGGTTGGTCTCCGTAGTACATTCGCCTGCCTGGCTCGTTTTTGTCGATATTATCCATTGTTGCAATGGAGAACTTTGTGTGAGGTATCTCACTGTTCATTCCGAGCTCTGATTTCTTATCAATGATGGTCTTTTGATATCGCTTGTAGGAGTCGCCACCTGCTGTTGCGCCGACTCGAGCTAGTACTTCCTCCGCGTCATCGAAATTGTCGCAGTTTGACTTTTGATATAAAACGGGGTATATACTCACCAGCACTCGTACCAGAGGCAAGGAATCGGACCTAGGCGATAGTCATCAGTATACGGTGACGGCAAAGTTCTATTTTCTGTTATTGGAAGCTGGAATTTTTGAACTAGACGCAATTTCTTCGCTGATGTCGCTGCGATGGTAATTTCGACTCGCTGAGATCAGTCAGGCATTGCAGCCTGCACAATTCTCGTGCTTATGGCCATTCACTCAAGCCTCATCACTGTTTTACCTTAGCTGGGGTGAGAATGACTTCGTGGAACAAGTGGCAGCGCTTGGAGAAACATCGAGGGGTCAGCAAACTAAATGCCTGCAACAGCGATAAAATTTGTCGCTCTGGCTGAGACACTCAGTACATGATTGTACCTGCAAGAGCCGTGTAGACTCTACACGTAGTGCTAGTGATGCACGCGCAGGTGTCGTACCAGGGTATACCAGTGATGCAGAAAAAGAGGGCGCACTGGACGTGATCTGGTGATAGTACACTTACCTGCATGAGCGGTGACCACACAGCTAAAATAAATAGGCATGCCACGGCTAAAAAAAAGTTCATTTCAAGATCGAGGTGATTCCGCCGACGGTAATCAACCGACCTCGCAACGATCGTGTATTCTTACTAGGCTTCGTTGGTGGTGAAGTAGAAATCACCCAGAGCTAGCAGACGACAAGCATAGCAGCTCGTGTCCTGTGGAGAAAGTCAAAGCGTTCGAGATGAGGCGCGACCAACTTTCAACCTTCCTTGAAATATTTCGGAACGATATTTTTCCGTCCATTGACATCAACGACGACGAGGACTTCATCTCTGCATGAAAACTCTCAGTCCAACTGTCCTGGAATGTTACTCTAGTCTTCAGACTATCATACTGTGTAATAAGTTTTGAATGGCTTAGCTTCTGGAGTTGTCAGTAACAAGTGACAAGTCACTAGTCAAACTGCGACAATTTCGATGACGCGGAGGAAGTACTCGCATGAGCTAGCTGGAATTGCTATGTGCATCCACAAAGTCCGAAAGAACAAGCTGGAAAGGGTAAGTGCATGCTGGTGTGCTTGCATGCATCATGCATGATAGAACAAACAAGCACCGGATCCTCTTTGCACGGTGGTTGGATGCTTGACTTCCTTCTGACTCCGATTGGCCGTACATCATCAGCCAAATGTTTCCCCACAACTCACTGTCCACACTATCCACCACTGCGCCCAGCTTCATTTCCGACAGTGAAGTTAGGTCGTTATGCTCTTTGTGCTTGAATTCTTGTGCTTGACTTTTGATTTATGAGTGCATTGCAGCCGACAGCTCTGATACGAAGGATGATGGGCCACTGGGTTGGCTTGTGTGCTGTGTGTGCTGGGTTTCATTTTGTGCTCTGTGTTTCAGGGTCTGGGATCGTGCAACGGCGAGGGAATTGTATAAGCACAGAACTGTGTCACACCCTGTACGATACAGGAGCGTACCTCGTTTCTTACTGGTACCATATGACCCATGGCTGAGATGAGCGCCAAGCTTCGAAATAAGGCTGGACAGTAGCCACCAGTTGTTGCAGTCGATGGATGGTGAAGAAGAGGTGAAGAAATCAGCAGCCGTTGCCAGAAGAAGAGAACGGTTCTCGAGGAATGCAAGACAGACGAATCTTGCTGTTGCCAGCAATGCGGACTCCTCGGGTGAGGTGCATTGGTGCATTTCGTCTGTTATACTCTGCACCAGGCTCTCCAGCTTGAAGTCAGTAGTCTGACTGTCCACCATATCCAGTTGGCCTTTAGAACAGGCTAGGCAAAAAGCACTATCCGCGGTGACCGTAAGACCACGCTCAGCGTGCAGCTGACGCTGAACTGCTCCGACGTTCGGACATTTACGCTTAACACCCCTTATTTGTGCGCCACACATGGTGCATGTGGGCCTGTTGCTGTCATGTAGCTGCATGTTATGCCGGTTGCAGAGACCCGCTGGCTGATCGTTTGCGTTTACTTTCACGTTAAGCTTCTCGGCCAGCTCTACTGCTTGTAATGAAACTGTGACATGCCGTGGCAAATCACAACCATCTACTGAGCAGTCTGGTATTGTTGCGGGTGCTGGTGCCGGTGCTGCTGCTGCTGCTGCTGCTGTTGCAACATGCTGTGCAGGCATCGCTTCTGTAGGCTGCACGTTGTCAGTGACAGGCATTGGCTCTGCTGAATGATTTATGAGCCTTTTCATGCATTTCTTGCAGATACATGCATTTCGTGGTATTGTAGGGTGATGTGCATATTCCCAGCATTGCGTGGTATCGGGGTGGGCATATCTACCATCAAGGGGAACATCTTGGCAGGCTACACATGGTCCGCATTGCCTGTCAGGATGCAGTTTCGAGCTCTGGCTTTGGCGGCCCATTTGGACTTGGTCACAGTGCGGACACTCGTGGTTTCTTCCTGGCCTATAGCAACACCATCTGTCCGCCCATTCGCGTAGTTTTATCAGAGATAGAGCCTTGCAAAATAAGACGGCCCACAATCTCCTGCGACGTATCTACGAAATGGGAAATTGAGAAGAGAAACAAAAAGGCACCGCAACGACTTGAGATGTCGAATATCGAGGTGCACTTTCGAAAAATGTGCTCATCGCTCACCCTTATAACACCATAACGGCGCAAAAGCAATCGATATAGGAGGGTAAGCCTGTATTCTCGAGGTAACCAATAGTCGAAAATTGAGAATAATTCGGTATGTCACTAAATTCGTCTTCAAATTTCCCGCGGTTGCAAATAAAAGTGCAACTTTTAGACGACTTTTTTGAACTTGGCGCACGGACTGCGCAGTTGCGTCGATCCCCAAAATGCGTAGATGTACCTGGGATAAGTAGGATATTGACCCGCGTACTCGGGTGTTACCGTACCCTCGTATCATCCCTCCTGCTACGCAGCCGGGATGATATTCGGGAGGTAACACCCTCGTACTTGGGTAATATCTGTGTTTTATATGTGTTTACATGAGAAATTTCAACCCGGGTCGAGTTCAGCCCGGGTTGAAAGTCTGTACGATAGACAAAAGAGGTGAGCGTTTACATGAAGACAGTTGACCCGGGTCAAATACTGATATGCCGCCAAAAGTCCTTGCTGCGCTGCCGCCTTGGGTTTGCCCTGGTGCGTTGTGGTGCTATGTGCCTGCGTGGCTCAAGGAGCATGTTTGCTCCTGCCATGCCTGAGTCCCCTGCTGTGCTAGTGGCGGCGGAGGCACGCATCCAGTGAACCTGCACAGTGCAGTGATCCTACTGAGTGACAGACTCTGTAAATACTGTATCTGATGATTCGTTTTTATTATATGTGTTGATTCTTCACAAAATGTGTTATTTTGCCCGTACAAGAGGCTCAGTTTTCCGTGTGAAAAAAAAAAAAAAAAAGTCCACTTCTACAGTCTTGTATGGTCACGTGAATCAGTTCGCGCGAAATTTGCATCTGCAGTGCCGTGCAAACCTGGCGCGAGATACGCACAGAAGTACGTTTGTACGATTTTCTTGACCCGGGTTGATTTCAACCCTCCCCTTGGAGGTATATTATGTATCAGATTGCAACGACCAGGAGGCTGAAAATAGTGGCTGCAAACATGGCAAATGACCGATATCCGTCACTTGCAGCTCTGCATCAGAGGCCTGTAGCGAGGTATATTATGTATCAGATTGCAACGACCAGGAGGCTCTTAGTAGTGGCTGCAAATGACCGATATCCGTCACTTGCAGCTGTGCATCAGAGACCTGTAGCTGGCCTGAAGAGTTGTAAAATTACTCCTTCGTAGCCGGGAGAGTCAGAGCGAGGGCGATTCACGGCTTGGTCAAAAAACTGTCGGCCTGGAACGTAAACGTGGATCTGCCGACACAGTTCACCTGGTTCACACGCCTGACCTGGCATGCTGCCTTGCGTGAAAGGAACATTTTTCCGAAAGCAAGCTTCTTCTCCAAAATTCGAAATTTCTTTCCAAAAATGCCGTCATCCTTGACCTCGAAGCTGAATGTTGTTAGGACAGAAAATTAGCGAAGATGTAGCCGACCCATTCTGGCAAGCCGTGTGCCCTCTGGATATGCAGTTGTTCGCCATGGTCAACAATCTTCTTCTCCTTCGTTCGTACTTTCACTTTCCTGACCACGAATATAAGCGGTACCCATGCTCAGGTTAGTGTTTATTTGTCCGTCTATGCACATACATGTAATACAATGTACTGTTCGTGCTGCAGGCACTGGCCGATCATGGAAATAGAGGAAGCAGCCAGCTTTCTTTGAATTCTCGTGCTTTCAACAAAAATATGTACACACTTTCCTTGGCACCTCTTTCCCACCGCCACCATGCATGCACAATCGAGCTTGCTTTAATGCCCTGCAGTGCAGAATGCTCCCACCACCGCAACTACCACCGCCGCCACCACTACCAGCAGCACCACCACCACCACCACTGTGACCACCACCACCACCACCACACCACCACTGTGACCACCACCACCATCACACCACCACCACACCGCCACCACTACCATCACCGTGACCACCACTATAGAAGCATTGTCGTGCACAGCACGTCTGCAAGAGAAAATAATAGTATGCCAGTGCTGTAATGCCCTGCAGTGCAGTATGCTCCCGCCACCACCACCACCACTAACGTTATGGAAGCATTGTCACGCACTGTACATCGATCCACAAGAGAAAATAATGCCAGTGAGTTACTAGCACCTCCATGCTGCATGCGGACCTGGACACAGCACTGTTCCCTCTGCAGGAAAGGGGGGGGGGGGGGTGTATTTCATTGTCCCTGCCTGAAGTAATAATGACTACATGACATGATATCCAGCTAACTTTGCCAGTAACGAACGACCCTTGATCGGGCATGAGAAAAGTGTTGGTATTTGGGAGTTGTCGTCATTCACGGGGTTGAAAATATACGGCTATATTGTTACTAGGTCTGAAGATAGTGTCACTATCCGTGGGTTGTTATACCCGTGGTTGACTGCAGATACGTTTGGATTATTCTATGAGTATATGAAGGGTCTACGTTAAATATTTTCCTGAGGACATAGCACGAGGAAATTATGGGGAATGCAGTACATGTATAGAATGGTGCAATCCATTTCTCCCAGGGCACTTTCCCAAGACTCCTTCTAATATTCACTCTTGGCGCGACCCTTGTGAACTGAGCGGGGTGTATCGTTGAATATACCACTCTCAGAACGTCTACTGATTGGCTGAAATCGCCCAATTCATACCGTTCCATGGATCAATGCATGTCAGGGAGTCGTAGCACCCAAGGAAACAACACGAGATCATGATACCCAAAATGATGTACTGTAAAAGCGGAAATTTTCAGTGGTGTTTTATTTTCGGTAACTTCGGTGCCGACAATTTTTACCGAAAAAATGCACCGAACTTTTTCGGTACTACTTAGTGGTACTAGCACCCTTACCTGGAAAGCGGGTATTACCGAAAATTTCCCTCCACCGAATCGCCGATTTTGGAGAATTCCGAAAATATTACACCACCGAAAATTTCTGCTTTTACAGTACACAGATTGGATCCATGGAGATTCTACATGATCTGTGGTTTATGCAACTCGTGATTGCGGACTTGACCCACTGGCCCCAAGCATGGGTCAGTCAAGCGATGCTATATGCGAGCATGTATGTATCGCACTTGCCCCTAAGGCAGTTAGGGCAACTGTCACTGGCAGCCCAGGGTTGAACCCACATTATTGATTTTTGAAATTTTCTAGGGTGACACGAAAAGCTTCATGCACTGGGTGGTCACTCTCTATTCATGTATACCACTCTGCCAATAGTGCATAGAGCTCTCTTTTGAGCTGCCCAGCTGGCCCTCGTTATGATTTAGGCTGAAAGTCTACCGTGCCGTCTCCCTTATGCTATGACTTTATAATGCATATGTACAGAAGAAAAAATCCCGGGACTCCGTTGATGAAATTCTGTTTTGTCAAGTGGGCATTTTTGATTATTGTGAATGGCGTGTAGTGCCATAGTACAGTTCCTTTTGCTACATAACGTTTGCACAAGTCACCTTTCAGCAATTGAACTAGGAAGATCTATGTCTCTGATCTTGTCATTTGGCCCGGCTGGTGCTGTGCACTAACAACCATTGTCAGGCACCCTCGAAAGACCAACAGCGATGAGTTCATGACCCAAGCATTATTTGGGCCGTTAAGTTGACTAAACGGGAGTGTAGCAAGCTTTGATCGGCGTGCTTGTGAAATGTTGTCCGAGCTGAATAAATTCTATCTCCTGCGGTTTAGTACAACAGTTTCACACCTAATACTGTAGATTCGACGTCTCCAAGAAAAACCTCCATGGAGACTGGAAACTATAGCAGATCATAAATGATGCAGCAGCTCAGCTGATTCCTCAGCTCGTGTCTAGGTTCATGTACTTTGGTAAACGTGTTGTGGCAGACTCCATGTGCAAAGCTGCATACTCTTGGGGTTATTGATTCTTGCTGATAATTCCATTAACGTCATTGCATAGATATGAACATCATAATAATTGAATGTTGGCAAGACCCAACAAGGTGTCCCTAATGACTTACATCAGATCTTCACAAAATGCACATACTGTAAGACATGATTTTATAATATACAATCATGTCTTACAGTATATATTATAATAACGAGGAAGCAAATCTAACGTTTTAACGGATGACATTTCTTCGTTATAATAGATCCGTTGAGGCCGTACTGCTTCATATATGCTGTGTGTGGATATGGCAGAATACTGCAAAATTGTTAACATATCTTCTCGTTAACTTATGAATTTTGGACAATCGTTAAATTTGCGACTCGTTATAACAGCATGTCTTACAGTACATCTTGAAAAGTCATATTTTGGTTTCACATACACGTCACATTTCTATCACAGAGATCAGTAGCCATGGGCCATTGGTGGCAATACTGGTAGGAGTCGCCCGAGGCTTAGCCAATAATTTCCGTTCAAGTATACCCAATATACATACCCGAACTGGGCAAAAATCTATCCCATTCCTTGGTGCTGACCCCTTTGATGCGCCCCCGAATCCCTTAGCATTATTA